TCCCAGACTGTCGAGAAGATACTGCTGGTCAGATGCCTACTCTGAAATGGCAGGGCGTACGGTGAAAGAAGCTGACAGCAGAATTGTCCAAGTATGGTGGCCCGACTCCGGGGGACGCAGCTGCCCAATAACTACTATGAACTGTATGGCAAAGGACGTTCTGTATGAATTTAAGTGGGCTCCAAACTTGCCATTCGATAATGGAAAATGTAACAATCCTTCAACTAACAACCAAAGAAGCATCAACAGACAGTTCTTTCAAAACGCACCCGTCCAAAAAAATCCCCTTTTAAAATCCACTTTGAAATTACTGGAGTAAATTCCAAGGCATTTTTGTGACACTCTCTTCTGTCATTGTTTAGCAGCCATCATGAATGTGGCTTTCGTGAACAATGATATTAACGTGCAGCTCAAGTATAAACTTGATAGATATATGTCTGATATTAGCTGTTCTGATGCGAGATGTTACTCTAACAGATTAGGGCCCGCACTTTCACGCTTGTGAACGACGTCGTATCGCCCACAAAAAGCCCCTAACTGAGGAGCATTAACCTGATGCTGAAGAGTTTAACTAGGACATCAACATGAGTAAGATTTAATGTCTGCACCAACCTACGCTATTTGGAATCTACAACACTCCTTTGGGCACCGTGATTAGAATGGACTTTTTGAAAAGCCGCACTAAATTTTATTACCTCGAAACACCTTATCTGCTGACTTGACCGCCCACTGGTAACTGAGACCCAGCCTTAATTATATACTAGCAGTTGAAGTACTGCAAACGATTAACGAAGTTACTCAAGCAGGATTATATACCAGATATTCAAGCTGCATGAATGAGATAAGTCTTCTGAATGAAACAAAGTTTTCAAAAAGGATGAGTCTAGCTGATATGGGAATGCCGCTGATTATAAAATGACCATCGGCAGTTTAGGCTGTTCATTCTAAGCGCCAACATCGTCAGGAAATAAGAATACTTCGAGGCAGGCTCTCGCAACATTCACATTCACTCAGAAAACAGTAAGCATAAAATTAGTGTTCTGTGGTCTTTTCAGTTTGATCGTTGTAATGTCAATGTTAAGACCTTGCACCACCTAACAGATACCGTACTGAAGGCTTCAACATGGTTACATGTGGAATCTGTCTACAAGAATCTTCCAGATTAGGGTAGACTCAGCTCGACGTGAAGACTGAGGCAAAATCTGTCATCACTGCAGGAGTTTTGTCAAAAGTCTGAATCCCAAAAGCATGTTCCGTTTATCCGGAACCGAGAATTGATATGCTTTTAATTTCCTGGCGATTGATGGATAGAACCTGCAACCAGTTCTTGGTTTCTGGGATCACAGTCTACTGTTCTTTGAAGATGCCTACTAGTTTGAACTTCTTTGCGGGCTATCATGCGGGAGAAAATGCAGTCGGATGTAACTCGGCAAAGCAAGGAAGCTTATGCACTGTTTACTGCTGAGTTAAAGTGCGTTTATTTTATTCACAATCGAAATGTTCAGTTTATGGCCGCATTTTCGCTAGGTCGGCAAAATAGCGAGCCGATTTTCAGTGGAAACTGAAAGTTAGCATGGGTAATCAAGAGTACAAGACACTAATTCCGGAAAGATCGCGTCTTCTGATAACTAAGTGCGCGTTTAGTTAAACGTTTTAGCTAGTCACTTCAGATGGAAAACAAAGTCCTGTGTTCCATGAATCCATTGTCGATCTACTGATAACGAGCCTACGTCCGTCAATTTTCAACCGGTCATGATTAATTGTGCTGAATCAAAGAAAGGCAAGTAGTCTCATTAGTCTGACCTCTGAAATTCGTCCAAAGCGTATTCTCAAACGGACGTCGAAGCACATTGCCCAGCTATTTGTCCAATAGGCAAACAGCCTTCTAGATAAGAGGATTTGCTTCTAGTTGACTATGGCAGAATTCTTTTCAGTTTATGGCAGTTTTCACTCAATACGTTTGAAATAGTTTGAATAACTTATTCTACTTTGTTGGAAATGCACTATCTGGAGTCGACCGGCTCGTTTTGCAGGTGGAAATTCCGACCATTCTCCCTGATAATGTTTGTCCACGGCAGTGTAAACTTACGATCATTTCGCGCAACTAATTAGCTACAGAATTCCCTATCGATCTCGGAGGGGCGAGACGCGTCCGTATTAACCTTCAATTCGTGTAGACACTCGAGTGCGCTTAGACTGGCTGACAATGCTAAAATTACGTCGGTTCTGTCTGTCGATGATCTTGCCCAGTTATTAGTATTTGTGTGTCATGCCTCTACTTGCACAATGTTTCTTACAAAGCATGCCAGTACGTTTCTATGAACGATGAAACTATGTTTCTAATGATATGTTACCTTGGCCGAAAGATAGGTGGAATCATAACAATTTAGGCTGTCAGTGAACGCAATACGGCGGATTATGACTTATTGGTCTACTCCACTTATTTTGCCGCTTGATGAAACTTAATTAACCTTTCTTCAGAACAGTCGGATAGATTTATTCCAAAACCCACTCCATCGTAGAAAGAAAACGTTTTTCAAGTGAAATTTTCTTTTGAGAGAAAAAAATGAGCGTGCTATTAGATCACAATATGTTTGTGTAGAAAACTGGCCGCTGCAACACTCTCGCACAGACAAAATATCCGAAGTCTCTATGGTGCAAATTAGTGAATACTCATCGCACCAAAATCCTGCTGTACATCATATTTCTAGTCAAAATGTGTGCAATAACATCAGCTTGTGTTGGTGGGAAGACACTTTCAAACAATATTTTCTCTGACCAATTACGAGTTGGTCAACCAGCAGAAAAAATAAAATGATTGATGATAGCCGAAAAGTTAGCGTAAGAAAAAAATTGCGGTTTCCTTTACCCGATGGGAACTGCTTTAGTCAACATTTGTTGTTTGAATGTGGTGTGAATGAGGCAGAGCGCGTAAGACAAAACGACTTATGAAGAAACCGACAAACTCAGTCCTAGCAAATTCATGTAAAAAGGTGTGTCCACCGAATAGAACTGGGTGCGGGAAGTACTTGGTTTTCTAGGTAGCATTTTGGGTAAAAATGCACCAACTCCAGAAGTTCAAGGTTACAGTAGTGCGTGACACCAAATCTTTCCCGTTTGGACATGAAAATAGCAGCAGTTAAAACAAAGGCAGTGTGAGAAAACCTCAGGTAACATGGTATTGGAAGAAAATGTAGCCTGATTTTGATCAAAGGCTGCCTTCGGTATGAATGGGCTAGCATACTTTTCCCGTTTTTAATCACGACCCTAAAATTGAGAAAAAGAGTACAAGTATATTTAGGAAAGATGCATCATTTCACATATACAAACGAAAAATCCACCGACAGTGCTGTGTTTGGGAATTGCGGGAGAACATTCAGCTTTTTTGGTGTTGCTCCTGGCTACCGCCAAGCGAATCAATCCTTGGGCAACAAATCTGTGGATGCATTTGACTGCGATTGTGCCATCAAGTTACTAAAAAGGTTTTGCTTGTTAAACGTAGAGTTTGTTGCAGCATCCATGCCTTTTCGCATCGGATGATATTAGAAGTTGGCACTGTACACAATAAATAAACATCTTATTCATTTGGCATAAATACTCCTTTAATTTAATTTACATTGCCTTATTTAGCTGAAAATGACGCCCTGACCAGAATTTAATTATTTTCTGAATGAAACTAGGCGTTTTGCTTAAAAACGGGTCCCTTGCCTAGGAAAAACAGATGCCCTTATTCCGATTGGTGCCAATCTGGATTCACGATTGAGCTGATTTAACATTAGGGTTACGTTTTGCGGACGGCATTAGAATTTAAGTGACTGATAAATTACAAGCTTGGCTAAAAAAAGATTTTCCATTATATGCTTTCGATTAAGACCTAACTATTCTACACCTAATCCTTTATTCACAAAGCCAGAATGAGACAAATTTACGTAATCAGCACTAATCAGACTCTCAAGCGTCGGTTGGTCTCGTTTAGGAGCTGCACATCTGTTCTACGCCAAGGGAACCCACGCATTAGCAAACACATCAAAGTAGTGAAAAACTATTAACATTGTTAACATTGTTATCTATTGAAGTTATTGGAAGTTTAGGCTCGGTAAGACTGTGAGGCAGGTCAGTCCTGGAACGACATTTCTGATTGGATTTAATACCGTGCATATTCAGGCTCGAATTAAGTGCCACCGTTGATTAAGCGCATGGTATATGGTAAATAGCAGTTATCGCCCACCGATGTGCAATCTATTCTCTTGAGAATTATCCCCGATACGAATCAGCCATCTGAGCATTCACCGATCCAGATCAAAGCTGCTAGAAAGAGCCGATACCAAGTTTCAGGACAACTCGTGAGTTTAACGCTAAAGACAAGGTGTTAGACAGAGAGCGCCTCTGACATCTCAGTGTGACAAACTGTTGCATTGTGAGGACGATAAAATGTTTCCCACTTTACATAACTTTTAGCTGCCAATAAACCAGTGGACTCCCTGACAAAACCTACAGTACTTTCCCTATATTACGTTACTTTATTAATCATTTACCACCATAAGAAAATAACAGTCATTCCTTGAGTTTTGCTTTGAGAGGCGTAAAAGGTGCTTGATACACACCAGCGAAAAAATGCTGTTTAGATTCGAAGAAACGCCAACCAGTCGATTTTTTGAAGCCTAATAAGCTGTTTATAGAAATTTCTATTCTTGATAAACCAAATGATATCGCACTGCATTACTTTGTAAATTTGTAAAATTTATCGGCACAACTCGTTTTAAGGCCCTTTCTTCGGACCCAAAGAACTATTTTACTTAATTTACATAATGGTATAATTCCAAATTTTTTTAGAACACACTATTCAGTGAAATTTTTTAGTTGTTTTTGTTGCGCAACTCCATTTTATCGTGCGATATTTACACGTCTAGAGTTTATGTACGGAAATTTTCATGTCGCAAGCGCGACAAATTAACTAGGATATTTGATACCGACCGATAGATGAACAAATGGGACTAACCTTGATTTGGTAGTACAGCTGTCTGACTAGCTGTTATACTGTCGTTTGCTACAGGCTTTATAAGTTGATTGGACAAAGCCCATTGATGCAGCATATTGTTTGGTCTTGTGGTTACTAGATGAATCGGGTCACTGGGAAGCGGTGCGGTGGAATTGAGCAAAGGGTTGGTATTGATGAGTCCGTTATTGTGGTTTGCATAGATCTGTCCAAGACCAGATCCATTAGCTGCGAGACAGGGGTTGGAAGTGACACCACTAAGTGCGGTTGCCTGATGCGGAGTGAGCACAGCCTGATAGGCAAGGTAAGGACTCAGATCGGGTATGGAGGGATAGATGGCGCCTGCTGTTGGAGTGCCGTTCAAAGCTTGCATGGCAGCTGCTAAAATTTGTTGTTGTTGGGACTGACGATAAAAATCTGTGTTGTATAGTCCGCAACGGTACAAATTACTGCAAAAGGAGAATAAGTGGGCAAGTGAATAACTGGAATAGACGGACTGATAGATCGGGATAAACAAAATTTCGTGGTAAGTGTGGTAAGTGCTTATTACGTAGTTCACTTCGCTTTGAAAATTTCTTAGAATAATGCCAGTTGACTTACGTACTGAATCGCTTGAATATAAAATATATGAAACAAGCACTGCATTCCACAAAAGGATAAACATTATGCGGAGAGATATTTTTCGGATACGTTACTTTGACCGTGGATAGGTAAGGCGTTTCAGGATCTACTGAAGGAAAATGCACTGAGGATTGTAGTACTGCAGTACCTCCACGTCATTTGTGGGTTTCTAAACAATGGCCTGGTTCGCCTAATAGTGAGTAAGCAAATTGGGAGAGTTGTATCGTATGCCTGAATATGCAATCAGATGTTGCTGAAATGTAAACTTCTACCTTTTATTCACGGATGCAATCGACGGAAATTCTGCTTATGAATTATCGGAGGTCGTTTTTGCATTAATATCCGTCTTTATCTCTTGGTACGTCCACTCTACATAGCGCTTCAAATTTGTACTGTACTTCTGAAACGAAAAGATTGACAACGCTAAATTTATGACGGGAAACCTAACTTGTGTCGTTGAACTGTGTTTCTTAGCAGTATATACACCTTGTGTACTACACCTACGCCATTCTATTACGGTCCTTCTCGTCTAGTGACCAAATTCTCTAACTAGCTTAAAGAAACTCACGTGGTGTTCCTTGTTAAAGGTGCCAAAAATTAAATATAAGTCATGTCTTCCACGGAAAGCCTTACTTGGGATCCAGTAGAGTGGCATCCGTAGGGCTAGTTCCGAGGAGTGAAAGATGATTGGTTGAAATCAGGTTCGCATTTATTGTGGGAGGAAGCGGTCCAGGTCCACACCCATGGGGTGGACGCAAACAGTTGTTCACAAATCCATGTGAGGCGCCTGCCCCAATTAATGCCGTGGCGGCCGCGGCAGCCAGAGCGTTTAGATTGGATTCTGCACTGGCGTTTGTACCAGGATTAATGGCGAAATCGGACACTCCCAGTGATGTTGGAGAATTGACTGTTGAAGGTAGTTTGCCGGAGATAGAGTTGGAAAGCAGACTTTGGGCAAAACCATGAGCATAATCTGATTTGTTCTGGAGGATTTGGAGGGAGGCTAAAGAACTCTGATTATTTGAGTTGGGATGCACGCTGAGTGCGCCATTCAACAGGGATGATATGGCATCTTGTGAGCTGAGAGGGGCGCCGTGCCCCAAAGTTAATGGATACCCGATTAGACTGTTGACAGCGGAGTTATTGAGCAAAGTTGACATAGGATATCGTCGGCGCCTAGTGTCCGGATTGTGCTTGTCCGCAAATTTAGCTTCTACAGGATTGTTGCACTCGGGAAGAATGATAGGAGTGCTTTTGATGTAATCCAGGGCGGCAAGTGCATCACGCTCATTGGCAAAGCGCACGAAACCGACCCCTGCAGGGAGGATACAAAAACTGAGAGCTTGAATTCGGGATTTAGCAGTCGGAAAAATTATCCGTAAATTTCTGATAAAGATATTTTTTCTACAATCACATAAGGCAAACAAATATTGCATAATTTACTGAGGCACAAATTGTTTGTATATCCGAAGTCATTGCACCTAATATGGTGGAGAAATGCAGAGTGGAAATTATTTTTTGAGCTGCTTGTTTGCCCCTTAGATCACTTTTCAAGTATCCTTTCTACAGAGGTTAAGCTTTGTCAGTAAATAGTTTCGTAGTCCATGTACGGTGAGCTATTACCAACAATTGTCGACGTACTTAACCATCTTACTCTTAAGGGGTTGTGTTCAGAAATATACTGACCTGTAAAACTTCTCGAATAAATCCTGAGGTTGCACAATTAAAAATACATTGTTGCTAAAAATATCGCTCATAATCTGTTTGATATCTGACAGCTAATTTTAACATCGTCAACATTGTCGGTCGACCGTGCAACGGTCAATTCACACTGACCACAAAAATACTATTTGAATTTGTTGCGGTTATATTATAATGAAATATCACTACGTTTTTCGCTTTGACATTGTGAACTGTCATTCAATCGCCATTGTCAATGAATGACAGTACTTCATTCAGAAGAAAAGTAGGCTTGGAAAATAATTCCTATTCACTTTTTATTTATTTGAATTCACTCAACAATTGAAACTACCAAACGTAAAACGATGTACCAGTCCACGATGTGTCCATAACTAGGATATTAGTTCATAAAACTGTCTTCTGAAGTATAGTCTATCATCTTCCTTAAAGTATACAGCCGTACTTTTATCAGGTCCTTATTCGATATATTTTATATTTTTACACGCATAAATCTGTATCAGCGGCAAGTCGCTACCATGTGACAACAAATGTTTGTGTAACGAGTTTTATGGATTGTTCGGATGTGATCATTTGTGACCTTTAAACGGAAGCCAACTACCTCAGGAAGTTGTACAAACGGCGTCAGAACTTTGCAGGTGGACTCATACTATCAGAGAAAGAATGGCTACAACAGAACTGAAACTATGCATAAATTGCTTGCAACGTGTGGGTACTTTGGGTCTTTTTTTCTCCACTTGAACGGTGGGCTACGTGAGCTCAAGTGAGGTGGTGACAGTGGATCCGTCATAACACAATTATAATTCATTCCCATCGGCCACGCTTCCGATATTCACAGACTACTACTGGTGAATCAAACTTGTACGTGGATCATGGCGACAAACTGTATCAGTAGTAAGATGCGATAGTGTTCCGTCTTAAACGGTCTACGAACATGAATACATAAACACACAAACTTCCAGTACATGTAAAAAATATATAGTTCCAACATTCTAAATAACACCGGTATCAGAAATATACAATGACTGTAGTCTCGTGCCATCGACTACCCGATGAGTTTAGTGACATTAAATTAGGAGGTTCCTCCTGACACACGATATCCTACTTATTGGCAGTCAACTGTATTATCTCGTTGTCACAAAATGGCATTTGATACAGCCACTGTTGATTCAGCCTGTTCGCTAACGCCCGATTTGCTTGCATCATTGTTTGAACGCACACTAAAGGTTCTATCAGGCAACTACTCACAAGGCTGCTGAGAAAGCTTCGACGACCTACGACAGGTTTCGCCCTTCTTGGGGCTCATCAGGTAGGCGCAGTCCCCGGGTTTCCGGCAACCTTATATTCCACTTGAACCCAAACCGGACTGTTTTCGATAAAAACACTTATTTGCAAATCAATTTGGTTTTCACGAGAGATTCGACTGAATCTCTCTCTCAGCAACCTTGTGAATAGTGTCCCTTATGAAAATATACTGCGATATCTCGAATATCGTGCCAGCTGAAATATGAGGTAGCGTGCTTACAGTACATTCAGTTTTAAAATATCATAAACGAGAGATTGAGTCGGATCTCTCATGAAAACCTAATTGCTTTGCAAATGAGTGTATTTCTTCCAGGCAATTCATCGAAACCTCAGATTGACTTCATGAGGGTGGTGTAGAAACTTAGTAAGCATTCGTTTGTGTAATTCCCGTACTTAAGAACCATCTACCTTGATGGTTTAAGGCAAACTCCAAAAATTATCACGAAGTCTGCTGGTTCTGTTCTGCCCGTATGTACGCAGTCACTCCTGTGAAAGCTCATATTTTCATTACCAACTGCAGTTTGTCGAGGACCGTCGGAAACTAATTACTTATATTTAAGCGGATCAAAGAAAATCAATGGGCATATGGTAGATTTTCAAGAATTCATGCAACTAAGGTTCGTTAATTGAAGGTCTGAGACTAAGGTAGTGCAATATTACCTTTTAGAATTAGCGGATTTTGTTGCAAACGACAGGTCTCCTTGTTACAGTTTGAGATATATTGACTCGATACCAGCAGCCAAAACTTAGGTTTACCATATTTTCGGGTCACTTAAAAGCTCATTCAATGTACAAATGATGTGTGGAGACGAAGTACTCCATCGCAAGTGAGATGTGCATTTTAAGGAACCAGGGCGATTTCCTCAAACCACAGATATGTAACAAGTATTCTGGCATATCGGAGAAACATTCGTTTACGAAGTGAACTACAGTGGTAGGATACTAAAACTTGCACTTTTGTGGCATTCTTCCACAGAGTTAAACAAACACAGTCTGCTCTATGGTTGAAGAACTTTTTACTAAACCCAATGAGTTGATATATAATTTTTATTTATACAGTCATATACATATCCGAAGATAGATAAAAAACACTGTCGTCTGGCACAAGACATTTATTGCTGTTCGAGGTTTAAACAACTGGCATAAATTTCGGAAGATTCGGGTTCAGTGAATCTACATGATTATCCATTGAATGAAAGAAGATATTTGGAAAAAAACGAAGGCTCAGGTTTTTATCAACTCATCGAACAAAAGCAGCTGAATTCCACATGATTTAGAAGAGTAGTTTAGGTTGCAGGGAAACTTACAAAACCCGGTTGTTACTGAATTCACGTGGTTTATCTTTTTATCGACAAGTTGTATTTACCCCAGGGCTCCGAGCCGATTGACTGCCCTGCGAAACTTTGAAAACACTGCGTTTGGTCAGCCAGTAAGCATTTTGTTTATCTTTTATCGACAAGCTGTATCTACCCCAGGGCTCCAAGCCGATTGACTGCCCTGCGAAACTTTGAAAACACTGCGTTTGGTCAGCCAGTAAGCATTTTTTACTAGTGTGATCCAGAGGTTGATCCGCACCAGGTGGACATCAGGTGTTTAATTTACTAAATGTACTCGGCTTTCAATTTGTGCACGTCGTTTTAAGTAGAATTGACAAATCCGAAAGTAGTTAGGAGTAGGAAGACAGTCTAGGAAGTGTACATTTTCAAATTAACTGTCCGTAAGCGGGTGATGATTGCTGCTGAACACGATACTACTGTTTTATAAGTGACCGGCAGGAAGACTAAATTGAAGATTTCAAACGATACGCATAAGCTGGAACTGTCGGAGTTTTCACTAAATAATGAATCAATAATTATTTGTGACTACCACATTAGCTCATAGTAGGACAATATCGTCAGCATAATATATTGACGAATTAAACGTTAGCAAACGTTTCATAGCACGAAACCATTCAAAACGTGGACAGAAAAAGGATTCATAAAATGAATGTGGCTTCTGCCCCGGCAACAGTGATTGCCAAGAAACTGCTTAGTTAGAAAGGGTGTTATAAAGTTTCGCAACCTGCAGAGAGGCCTTGGTGGTCACTAGCAGAGTGCACAGCGACAACTTGCGTCCTTGTTGCAAGATATAATTTTTTGTATAGCACATGAATGGACAGTTTGGACTCTAGGTGCATTTAATCAAACTTGAGAACCAAGGTCTCTTGATCTTTGCGCACAAACGCTACCATCTTCTAGTGATAGCATGACGACGGGTAAATTTCATCCCCTAGTGAACAGTGACAGTTAAGGCATTATTATTAAGCAGCCGTAACTCCTGAAATAGTGTGTATATGCCCCTATATAAACTTTATCTAAAATTGCACTAACCAAAAACGTCATGGATAATGGTGGACTGTTAAAGCAGTCCTCAATAATCAACCACAGGTAACAAAAGATCGTAGGTTCCATTTTCTAGACAACAAACTTTGTACGATTGTCAATCTTATATTTAGATCATTTGCAAACAGCAATGGCTAACTAGCTACACTTCTCGGCCTGGAATTTTTAAAAGCCGACTGACGAGGGGACGCTTTCTTATCATCAGCCATGGATCTAGTATGTTACCGCATGAGATTTATCAGTGGGTAAAATCTCAAGCGTGATTTAGTAATTTCCATGAGAATTTTGGGGCTTAGGTTTTGGCAGCCGAAAAGTTAGTCTGCATTCTAATTTGCATACTGAGTAGTTTTTTCTAAGAAGACTACTCTTCTGAAAAATACCGGAAGAAACCAATATGAATATTTATGTCAACTTGGCTGCAGCAAAAAGATTGCTGCTTGCCCACCATCCGCAGCGCGAGTCTATCAGTGAAGCGAGGATTCTTCCACTGATGTGTCAATCGTTCTATAGCACACCAAAACCGCAGATCAAATACGATCGATTGCTATTAGTTATCATTATTTATTATCGTTATTTAATTATTATCACTAGTTATTGTGGATTATACTCACAGATTGCTTCATAATTGAGACCAGTTCAGTCGCCTACGCTCTGAGAGACAATATAAGTCATGAAACAGGTTCTGGTGACGTCTTAACGTTGACTTTTCTGTTTCCAAGTTGATAAGTAATACGTTTAGCGGTTGGGTTTTCGGAGAACCGGTAGGTTGTTACGCGGCATTAAATAAGTGCGCCAATTATATGGCTCTCAGCTTAGCGCACACTCACAAAATGTTCAGGCATACTAGGAAGACAGGTCAATGTTTGAAAATGCACAAAAAGTTTTGTAAGAATAAGAGTCATTGCATTCACGGTTTACACCGGTTTTTAAGCAAAAGGCATCCGACTGCAATGACATAATAGAAGCTGACAAAGGAAAGGAACGCTGTCTGTTGCACCATCTGGTGGTCGCCTCAAACTGCGGGGATTCGAACCCTTATTTGTGTTCTGAGCTATGATGCGAATCTTCATATGAATTAGATGCTCAAATATACGTGATGTTTTGCACAATAAAGATGAACTAACAGACGGTTTTGGGATTACCTATGATAAGAACAAGCATCAAACCCTGTAGTCTCTCCAAGCCACAGGTTAAGGGCACCTGCGAATTGTATTCAACCTCTAAGAAAAAAGTTGCAAATTTCCGTACATATAATTGTGCAACGAATCAACTCCTATTATTTCGGTAGCGTAATATTCCCATACCGGTAAACTCTGGCAGGGTTTATAAGATGTTGAGATCGGTCGCAATTAACCAATTCGGTATAGGTTTGGTAGAGAGATACCATCCTGCCTGTACTGTCAGATTGCTGATTTCCTTGGGGGACCCAGTGGACCCACAGAAACTGCTGGCAATAAATGCCTTGATAGGCTTAATTTCTTTCAGATTGCAGTGGATGCACGCTACCATGCAGGCGTTAATCTGGCAATCCGAAATTCTCAAAATCGTTGGTTGCTTTGTCTTTACTGCGAGCAAAAATTTCAAACGATTGGAACGACTAGCGAGATAGACATAAAATCACCCCAAATAAATGCTCAACTGTCAGGCATTTTTAATACCAACCAACAGAGAGAAGAAAATATCATTTAAAATTCTTGGTAGCATGTCGAAGCACACATACAAAGGGGGTAGCAATCGGACCCCGTTGTTTAACGTTGTGCCGTTGTTCCACTACATGTACATTTCACTAAATTCATCTGAAGGACGAATTGTGCAGAGACTGATGCCCGGTCGTTGTTATGTGTGTTATGGCCAACCCAGAGTGTTTTGGATGTTGGATGAGATCGAACTGCGAGTTTTTGGACAGCTTGTCAATCACTCGTGCAAATGGATGAACAATGAATGCATTCCAATGCCGGATGTGCACGGATTCATAAAGCCTCGTAACGAGGTTGAAATTTTATGGCCCGGCTAACCGTTGTTAGTCGCAGCTGTAGGCACAGGCTTCCTGCTGTTTTGCGTAGAAACACAGGAAGATCTTGCTCATCGAATTTGATTGCCTACACACAAATAAAACCAGATCAATAAGTTGCGAATGTTTTGCAGCCATACTGTCTCATCACAGTCGGAATACAGAGTGCCTACTGATACATCCTCTGCACATTTTCCACTTATGAAATCTACGCTGTTTATTAGTTTGGACGTTCCATTAACTCCTACGGTGTGCACTCACTCCTAATGGACGCTGTTGAATTCACAATGCCTCAGGTTTATTTCTTTCGGTACGACGAAAGTTAAACTTTATTCTAATCTGCTACAGACCACCTGATTTGCACCACGCCATGTAGTTGACAATTTTACAGAAAATCATTCAATCTTGACATGCAAACATGTATTATGAGAGTCACGAACTAAACAATTTTAGATTCCATGTAAATTGTTGAATTTCTGCGTGGAGAACAAGTAGTTTAGGAAATATATTTTTATAAAATCGACTGACACACTGGCTTTATGCTAAATAATTGTTGGACCCTAAAGTGACATGGGATTTTCGTCGCATATCTAACTGGATAAAGCATGTTCACTTCGAATTATTCCGGAATTATGCATGAAACTCGTCAAAAATGTGATAACTTGTTATACAGTTTTTGTCTAAATCAAATTCAATTTTTTCGATCCTTCCAGCAAATTGGGTGATGTTTCTCAACAAAAACCAATGTCTGTAGTCTGGCGATGTGGAACCAACCGCTTTATGGTATTCCCACAAATACCTTCGGTGGTTCGAGGAATGCATTTCCAAAAACCTGTTGCAAGTATAACTCTTTCAAGGGTACGCTACTGTTTTTGTTACCCCAAATCTTTCACATCTAGTCCGGTATCTTTATTCAAATTCCTATGAGAACCATTTTGATCGGTCCTTTTTCTCTCACATTTGAATTTTGTAGCAGTTAACGAGAGTAGTTGAAGGGTTAGCATTCCAACCATACGCATCTTAGCGGAATACACTCATATGCAAACAAATTTGGTTTTGTGAGAGACTCACCTGGAACACCGTAAACGAGAGATTCAGCTGGGTTCCAGGTGAGTCTTTCACAAATGAGTGTACTTCGCTAATTTGGTTCATTATACATCTTACTTTCAACTACACAACACTGAGTAGTTATCGGTTTATTTTCAAATCACGCTCCCTCGAATTTCTAATTGCTGAGTGTAACCTGGCTGATCCTTGAAATAAAAGCTTGCATGTCCATACAGCATCCATTTAGGTTTTAATAAAAACATTTTTTAATGTTTCAGTTAAGACCTGACCGGAATGGCAGCACCCAACGCCGTCAATAGTTTGAAAAATTTACTAAAAAAATTCAAAAATCCGATTCCCCCCTCAGTTTGATTCAACAAGTATTAAGATCACGAGATACCTCATAGTTCTAAGTGTAATCGCTGCACACCGACGCGGGACTTCAGCGTCATCTGTATCTACCCATTACGTTAGCTTTGCTCAATCCACTGAAGGACGCTGACCCTAGCAGCTTTTGTGATTTTTTTAAATATCGAGTTCACTGAGATTGTCTGGACAACAGACTCCATGTAAGAACTTGCTGCGTACGAGATAAGGTGCAACCAATGCCCACTTTTTCTGACTGTTTATTGTAAAGGGCTGTACGGAAAGGTCTCTTAACAATGTCAAGCAGTTCAGACATTTCGTCGATCAGGATTATTGGAAATGTGCCACCAAAGTTGTGGTTTTTGTGCTCGCCTACATACCACAGTTTATTGACGTGGGCCCCCCAACTTGTGTGTTTTCTTCGTTTCGGACAGAGGCTTACCTGAAGATCCGGATGACTAGTTAGCAGGACTGAATGCCCGACAATTTTTTCGGACTACCGGATCCATCCCATACTCGTATACATGCACTTGCTTCTGTCGTTACCTGAAGAGCATTATTCAATGACATTCTTATGGCTGCAAGTTCGTTGTGCGGTAACACACCGCCGAAATATTTCGCATGTTAAATAAACTCAGACCATCCACAAAAAAACCAGTGAGTTATTTAGCATTTGGTACTGAAACCAAGAATGTATGAGTTTGAATTTGGCGTCACGAAAATAACTGGCTTCGAACTGTCAACATCCAACCTTGTACCGGCAGCAAACATTTCCATTCCATTTGTTTACTTGTCTGATAGTTTCCTCCTTTATTGTATCTCAATGTGTACAAGATGAACGCAGCTGGCTCCAGTCAACTGTCGATCGTCATACAACGTGAAACTCACGTCGGCCCGTAGCTGTGATATTTTTGTCACTAAGATCTCGTTCTGCTAAATGACTACTAACCGTGGAAATCCCATTTCAGTAAGTGTAAAGCGATAACCCTACGCTGACACTAACCTTTATTCAAACGCAAAACATATAAAGAAGCGTATTTTATTAAAAACGTCATATCTCTAATCAGCTTATTGAACCACCTCACAGAGCTTCTATTTTTCGGGATAAAACCGTGAGAGCCACTCAACATATAACCTCACCTGTAGTCCGGTTTGTCGACCGTTCCATCATTACGAAAGCAGACTGTATTGGACCGAATCGTTCAAAAACCATCTTCAATTGATCACTGTCTTTCGTAGTCCAAGATTTGGGTAAATTTGTCACGTATAAGTTGGTTTTGTCTTTTTCGTTCTCCTTTATGGATTGGAGGTATGAAAAAGATCGCATATTAATGTTACAGTGATGTCAACGCGAATCAAGGGAGTCTGACATATATGACCATACATACATGTATGGAACCGTTGTTAACTGATTGTCGTATATGCCTTGTAACTGTACACGACAACGCAAAGGTATACGATAATTGAGGACGGTGCATGCTTGCAAACAACATGTGAACACGTTATAATTTCACAGTACATGGGAACCGCACCACGAAGATCAGTTGGAACACAGCAAAGTAATAAGAAACATTGTTCCAAGAAATTGAAAAAAACTAGTCTACCATTGATTTTTACGCCGATATATTATCATTGGGTGACTCGCTTTTTACGGTAAATGAGTAATGATTATCTGGACGCAACCACCTTGATTTACAATTAACGAATTTCAATTTTGCAAGGTTGGATATAAGAAGTAAAGGTAAATTCTTATACTCATTCCAGTTCCGTGCATACCTCTCTTACGACGAACGAAATAAGTGAAGCGGAAACTTAGTGTCTGCCTTCTCTCTGTATAAGCCCTAACAATAGAACTCCCCGACAGGAAGTAGTACGGCGATGTCGGCTGTTACTTACGCTTTAATTGCAATTCAGGAATCTGTTGGAGCTGTGGGACAAGGAAATTGCCCTAGGTTTCAAACACAACATATGTCATATGGAACATCAGAAGTTTTCACAGTGCTGTCTGATTTTTTTTATCTTTATTACTCGTTTTAATTTCTGTTCCATCACATTGGTAGGATAATTCAGATTAGAGTGCACCGGAGAGGGATGCTGGACTCAAGGTACTCATCTGTTGGCATTGTGCTAGCCCAATTTGCAGGACTTTCACCTAGTTGTTCGAACTGTCCTGGAAGACAAACGGCGTCCGCCATGGGGATTAATGGTCCCCGCTTCAACAGTGATGATTCCGGTGCTTCTTGCCTGCAGTTTTGAAAAAAAATGCTCTTTAATTGCACAGTGGGCCATATTACCGAAATCCAAACTCTAATATGTCAACAACTAGACGCCACTTGTGATCATCCAAAATAACGGAACTTGAATTCAGTGCAAACCTTCTTTAGGTGAACAGAGCAAAATTAAAATGGGCTGACGAAAGATGGAGCAAACGTGTTTAATGTATTTTGTGACAAGTGCCCGTTTCATCACCATATGTCTACAGGGTGAAATATCTTAGGATGATTGCCAGATTTTCATCACTAACAGATGTTAGTGTCTACACAAACTTGGGAAAATCTAACAATTCATTAGTGTTCTGTACTCTATTCTGAATGTGGTCATTGGGTTGCATGATTTTGACAAATACTAGCAAACATTTTGTGGAATAATGTAGTTTTCAAGACTTGTTTGCATAAGCTATCGACACCCCACCTCTTAATAATCTAATGCGGTGGCCACAATAAAGACAAAACGAGTTGGTGTGCCGGTTTGTCCAAACAAGCTGTCTACGTTGAATACTAATCGGAATGCAGATGTGGACAGATTTTGCGCAGTCTATTCTATAACATGCTCACAGATTTTAGCACTCTCACCTCGATACAGCTTATGCAAAAAGCGTATGAATTTTTGTCCGCTCAGACTATAGGGCTAGTACAAATTCACAATCTAGTCAAACTCGATATGAAGGATAGCCTCTTACCACTGAAACTGTAAAACAATAGGCAGCCCAGAGGATGGATACTTTCTCTGGAGGCGTGAAATCACCTTCTGAGAAGTTGTCATGTAAAGAGCCATGGGATGTGGCTTCCATTACCGAAAGTGGCACTTTGTCTTCTTTAAGTGTGAGCTAGTCGCACTGGTGGGCAAACGGCTAAGGGTTCAGCCACATGCTGGACGACTGCGGGATCGAAGCTCTCCTAGTTTCGTGAGCTGCACACTGCTGACGATTCTTAACAAGGATGAAACAGCTGTGCAGTACGTCTGTGCTTTTCAGCGCAGATTGGCTTCAGTGGAAGGATGGAATCTTCATTGAAAATTGATTTATCCCGGTCTACCAATAATTACACACGAGTGCGCAGGACGTTAGAGAAACTCCTACTTGATTGCCAGTTGCTTGATAGCAACATAATGTGATCATGCATGGCTTATTTACCGCCAAACGAATCCCCCCGCCCTTAATGTATTCTCATTCTAAGCTATGGTAACGATGCGTAAGTCATGGAAGGCTATCAGGCTTAGTCTCATAGTTTAATCTAGTGCCCAGTGGCCGAAGCTTGATGTGGCGTGACAGGGTCTCAAGGCAAACCATGGTTAAAAATATTGCATGCAGAAATTTCTTCACGTAAATAGACTTTGGTATATTTAAGCCTGGGTCCGCTGTGTTGGTAAGTCAAATTTTATTACTAGGTGATGGACTGGTTGTCCCAGGTTTGATTGACAATTCCTCGTCGAAGTGCACTGTTACTATGCACCGTTTCCATGGAAGGCAAATATTATTCATTAGTTTTGTATTGAAAATCTCTGCAAAAAGTCAAATTTGATGTTTGTTTCGTCCACTATCAATTACAGGAGAATCAGTTTGACCGATTGTGCTATTTGAATTTATTTGTG